TATCTTTTCTTCTTCTTCTTTCTTTTCTTCTTCTTCTTTCTTTTCTTCTTCTTCTTTCTTTTCTTCTTCTTCTTTCTTTTCTTCTTCTTCTTTCTTTTCTTCTTCTTCTTTCTTTTCTTCTTCTTCTTTCTTTTCTTCTGCTTCTTTCTTTTCTTCTTCTTCTTTCTTTTCTTCTTCTTCTTTCTTTTCTTCTTCTTCTTTCTTTTCTTCTTCTTCTTTCTTTTCTTCCTCTTCTTTCTTTTCTTCCTCTTCTTTCTTTTCTTCCTCTTCTTTCTTTTCTTCCTCTTTTTTCTTTTCTTCCTCTTTTTTCTTTTCTTCTTCTTCTTCTTTTCGAAACCTCGCCCGTCTTTTTTAGTGCTTTCATAAACATTGCAGAATCTTCTTAAAGCGGTTTTGATCCCTACTCAAGGCTTTTTTTGGTCATCAGGCACGACGTACCGTTGCTTAACGAATAAGATGCGCTGCATTGTTATATCTCCTCTTCCATTGAGTCTCTATAGCCCTTTCTTTGTTTTCCTGAGAAAGAAAATCATTTCCTTTTTGAACGTTGCCTTTTCCGTCGCATCAAATGACAAATCAGGTTCTTCAGAGACTGCTAAGTATTCTTTCTAGTTCATTGTAATTTAATAACGGCATGCATGTTCGGCGAAGAAGCGATGGGAAGTCCAACGGTGCTTTCTGCAGAATCACTCTTCTAGTTCTTTTTACATTCATCAAGGCCGCATCTTAATTCTAAAACTGGTTACCGGTTTCGTAATATTTAGTTCTGGCAGCAAGCTTAAATGTGTGGTAGGATACAAACGTACAAGAGTAGGAGGGGCGCGTGTAGCTGAGGGTACACTGTAATACACCATTGATCCGGTCGTGGCTCCATCCTAAGCCCGGAGCTCACCAAGCTATCCACCCCTTCAGGGTTGTCAAATTATACTGGACTTGTTTGAGAGTATACCATCCCAGACCAAACCAATTTAAATCAACATCGGAAGCTTTATCTTTTATCCATTAAGGGTAAAACATTAGTGCTAAAGAGATTGGGTTGGAAGAACAATAATCTACTTACACACAATTGTTTGTGTAATTTTCTGGAGGTGTGTCCTCCCAACCTCCAAATGAACTCCTAATGAAACACTTCATGTATTTAGTTATTTCGTTGTAAATGATGTCATACCTGATCCGAGCTAGTTGTATTGTTCCCGGCCAAGAAATTTACACTCTTGTTATCCCACATGCTAATTATTTTCTGCAAAAAAAAGAACCGAGGAAGAATTTGATACCACATTTTCTCGTTTACAAAACCTTATCGATCCAAGATATTTACAAGACTTTTTTCGAATATTCGGATTCAATTTGAATCTTCTCTGAGTGATTACTAATCCCTCGACAAAGAGATTATTGCGAAGCATATCATGCCATGCCATTTAAAACATTTAAACAACGGACTGTTAAAAGTACTAGAGTTGCCTGTAGAAGAACACTAAGAAGCATTGGGCAAAAAAAGGCGCAGTAGAAGATGTTCATCAATTGTTGGCAATGACGTTTTTCACCTTGATAAATGTTAGTGCGGTGGTCGGAAGCGCGCTGAAAGGCACATGGCATCGAACTCGGTACCCCAGACTCACCAAACCCTCCCTCCCTCTGGGGTCGGCAAATCGGTACCAGGTATCTGGAAGGATAACTGCACTGGCTTGACACATCGGTAGGCCACCACAAGTCATTGGAAAGGTCAGATATGCATTAAACCAGCCTCAACCGTGCTTAGTTAAGCCGAATGCATAACGCTTCCCTCAGGGATTGGTCAACGCCGAGAACTTTATTCTTTTTTATCGGTTTTGCTTTAACTTGTAAAGATCAACTCGTCTTAAACTACATTCAACGCATTCCTTTTTGTAAAGTGAAAAGACGTTGTGAAGAAAGATCACACGCGTTTTACACTTCGACGGCACTTGCTCTAATCATAGATTTCGATTACAATGATAAGAAAATCTGTTTATTGCTTATCGAAAGCACTTTTGTCGAGCAAAACTGCTAATTGAAGCCTAAATGCTTTTCCTCAATTTAGGCGCTCTTAGCTACTTTATTCAGAGCGAAATTGCTTAAAAGCTACCAGTTTATTGCTACCTATCGTTCAATATTCTTCAAAGAAAAAGCTGCGAACATATTCCACTGTTTGGCGCCAAATACTAAATTTGAAAAAAGAGAGGAAAAGCAGCTAAGCGTTACATTCTCCTCTTCCATTCCTTTCTCTTCTGTAAAATAAAAAGTTAGGATGTGTGAAATTGTACCCGAAAACTTTTGTTTCATTTTCGCATGGCATGCTATTTCATAGCTAAACCAATATTACCAATTCTAAATAATAAACTAGCAATTTTAATCAATACCTATATTTATTGCTAGATAAAATCATTGAAGAATCTGAAGGGAATGAAGCTTAATCAGAAGATGTATGGTAAGCTTTTCTACTTCTTTCGATTGTTTTTAGTTAATGGAATCCTGGGTGAACACCTAAGTCGAAACTCATCGTCAGCGCATCTGGAAAGCGTCTGGATTTGCTTCTTTTTCGTTGTAAAACTTATATATGCAAGCTTAAATGAAAGTTTTATTTTCAAACGTCCGTCCATATACTGTTTATAAGATGCTCGATTTTTCTGCATTGATCGCTTACAGCGCCGTGACCGAGTTTTTTCCGCCACCGCCACCGCCGACGTACACACGCCCCTCTCTGCCCTATCAGTGAATCGATGTGGAACTCCATGCTCCCAGTCTGCTTAGATCTATCATTTACCTTTGACGTTTATCTATCCGGTCCGTTATGGATTTGGGATAACATAAGTCGTTTTGCTAGGATGGGATTCAGTCGATCTTGCCGTAACTCTTTCTTCGTCGGAAGTCGAACATTCGAGTTTTTTCTGTATGGTTTCATAGACAGATAGATCTTATATCCGTAATAAGTGAACGATCCGATGAACTACGACAATAATCCATCCCATCGATATGCGGTCGGCTCTTGCACCAGTCCTTCGTTGAGCGAGTTTTTTCATCTATGCGACAGCATCTCAGCCACAGAATCAATATTCGTTAGATTTTATTGTAAAATATTCAGTATTCTTGGCCATTGCTGATATTGCTTAAGCCCATGGACAATGCTTGAGGAGGAAAAATTGTGAACTTGATGTTATTACTACTTTACTACTTACGTACTAGATGATGGCATACGTAGATGGCACTATCTACAGATGTCATGTAGTCACAGCACCTCTACTCCTATTGATACTACCGTTCTAGAGGTGGCAGAGTTAATGTGAAGTTTAAATACTGGATGAAGACCTACCTTCTCTTCTCATTAAAACGTTAAATTCTGGTCATTTGTTCTTTTTCTTGGAATCATGAGACAACTATGCTCCTAGCTTTTCATCACAGGCGGATACCATTTCTTTTGGGTTGCAAGTATAGAGTATTCATTGAATGAAGTCTCTTCCTTCTTTAATGATTTCCTCGACCATTGTAGAATCAGATTCTTCAAGAGTATCCTAAACTAAGGACCCCGATATTTCTATCCAAAAACTATGCCGGGACTGAACTTATGCGAGGAGCCGCAGTTATCCCAACGGAAATTCCTCTAGGTCACACATGATTCGTAAACGCAGCTTATCTATGCATCTTGCCAGTCTTGATTCTTTGTATGACGAGCGTTAAAAACAAGGACCTCAAAAGATATCGTCTCCTCATTCGTCGACTGTTATCGTATTCCTTGAACTTGGTTACGGTATTGCCCTCTTGTGCCAATTTTAGCAAATGAAATTTCTCAAAAACATTTGTAGCTAATTGCTCTTTCCAGTGAATTTTAGCCATGAATTAGTTATCTCTCTCTGACATTCAACTCAAAAACCCAGTATGTTTAATTCCAGGGAATCCAATTTCGCTTTTCCAAACATCGTTTCCGGCTATTTCATCTTCGGCAGAAAAATGGGGTATGCCGACTCCTACGTAAATGGCTATAATTTTTTGTTAACCGTTTTGTAGCCGTTTGATCATGTAGAGAAATAGTGCAGTGAAGCACCTACCATGTCCCTAAGACGTCCAGGAGCTCAATAAAGTTGGGTGACAAATCTAACGACAATGTAGGAAGTACTGGTTTATAGGCCCTCCTACGCTACTATGCTATTCAAACAATTCCGTCAATGATATTAGGCATCATCGTCAACTCCTAATGCCTGGAGACTAGTTGAAAACGTCATTCAAATTGCATTCTATGAATCCACTATTACTTTTATTATTTCAATCGCAGTATTTCTCTATGCCAGTATGGGGGCGTGTAGTGCAATCGTTAGAGTCACCTTGTAGTACACATGGGATCTGAGCTTAAAGCCCACCAAGCCCTCCATCACTCCGGGGTCGGCAAATTTGTATAGGATCCATCTAGAAGGATTGCGGCACTGACTCGGTACATCGGTAGGGCATCACGAGTCATTTTATGGGCCAGATATGCATTCAACAATAACAGTGGTTGATGAAGTCGAATACATGGCGTATCCCTTAGGGAATGATCAGCGCCGAAAGCTTTATCCTTTATCCTTTTATGCCAATATACTTACCTACTTACTTGAACGGCCCGTCCTCTTTGGTTGTGTGGGCTCCACCATAATCACCATTTTTAGGAGATTTGCTGGTTAAGCCATTGTGGTTCCTGGAATTCCGCGGTCAACCTGGCTAAAGTCAGCCTCAGGTCTTCACCGCCACGGGCACTCGCAGCCCTTGTGGATTGGAGGGAGATTTCCCACCATGCGACTTTGATAGCAGAACGGTGGCGGATCCTGGTATTGGTTTACTCTTAGGTAGACTTCCTAATGGAAACGCCGGACTCCTTCTGAACTTGGGAGACCTTGTCGAGGTGACGAATCCTCCCGCTCTACATCGCAGTCCGACATCCAGAAACATCTCCCAGCCACGACGAGGCGGTAAACCGTTGGGAGGTATGCCAATATATGTCTCATAAATGCCATAATATTGATTGTTCACTAGAATATCACGTTTAGAGTCTTTCTCAGTTAACGTCAGTTCCCAGCTAACATTCCCATAAATGGCAGTTATATATATAGAGCTGATCATTTCTAGCTACACATCAAGCATCCCTCGGCTCAACAAGAGCTTGAGGGATTGGATTCCTTTCCACTATTCTTCGACTCAGCTGGCTCTATATGCTTCGATAATCTTCTACAACTCGCCTTAAGCACCATAACGAATGATGATTGTTAAAGTAGTAGTATTTTAAACTACAAATTGTTTCACGCTACGACTTTGACTACAGGCGGTTAAGTATCGCAGCTTTACCGTGGTCATCACTTGACAGTTATTTATCACAAGTACTGCACGTCGTGCTAACATCGTGGAAGGCTCGTTAAGGCATTCGGAGGCAGATATGTCTTCCAAAAAGACTATCAAGAGGAGTTAGTATAGGTGGCTATGAGTTCAGTTTGCTGTCAGGTTCGCTTTCGAAATTGTCTGTTGAAGAAAAGTACCAAGTTTCCAGTACGATACCTGCAACATAGAGGAGGGTGTGGTTGTGTGGAAATACTTGTAAAGCCATATGTTTAAACCATTTCGTGCTGAGAATGTCTCCTCGACCACTGGAATAAAGTTATAAACACTTTGCTACATTTGTCCTATTAAGACGAATTGATTGAAGGACTCGAAGCGTTGTTCTAAAACCCGATCTTGTGGCGATAAAGCAACTAGGGGTTTCTCAAGCTGATTACTATGTTGTGTACATAACATGTTTAACAGTTCTATCCAGAATCGTACCGGATGGGAGTTTTAAGTCGACGCTTCAAACGAAGTTTGGAATGGAAGTGCGTCAGTGTCGCGCCTATGAAGCTGATGAGCTACAGTTGGCTGAATTCTGTGCGCCTCATAAATTTGAATCATAGGGAATGCATTCCAATGTGTTTAATAATAACAAACTTCTTTGGAATTGTGACAGAGCCACTGCCCCGAACTAATTAGTTTCTATTAGCTCAGCAATTCTGTTAAATCAACTCGTCGTTTACTCTAGAAAAGAACAAAACGATACAGCTCTCGGCGTTGATCAATCCTTGGGAGATGCGCCATACATTCGACTTCATTGAGCATCATTAGACGTGATTGAATGCATATCTGGCCTTTACAATGACTCGCGGTGGCCTACCGATGTATCGAGCCAGTGCTGTTATCCCACCAGACAAGTCTGCTATCAATTTGCCGGCCCCCGAGAGATGAAAGGCTTGGTAGGCCATGGGCGCGGGAATCGATTCCACGTGTTTATTGCAGTGCGCCTCCGACCACTGCGCCACACGCGCCCGTCTACTCTAGAACGGTTTTTAAATAATAATATAGCACCTTAAAGCATAATACTTCCACGGAATTACCCTGGAATTATGGCTGTAAACTTCTTTAAATTCCGAGGTTTGTTTGAAAGTCTAGTGTTCGGCGGCCTTCGGAGTGTCAACGACGGTTGACGCAATTACGTACGAAATGAGCAATTCGACGTTTTTTACCGGAACGCAACCCGTGAGCTCTTGCATACGAGGCCATTCAAATGTGTGAGGATATGTACTAGCTTGAACAGTTTCTCCTCACAGTTCTTTTTGGCTCCAGCGCTTTCGTTTCGTTGTCTTACAACCGTCAAAGCTGGAGATTTTGTCAGGTCCTGTGTGTAGATTCGCCTGTGGCTTGGGTATTTGCCATGTCCTCTTTTCGTTCACTTGTTGAGTGCCATTTGAGCGACGATGGCCTTGGAATTGTAAGATAGTCAGTCGTGTTGCCGGCCATTACTTTCCAGTACGCTGCAATTCGTGGAGGCAATGCTTTGAATGTGCCAAATTTTCATTATTGTTTTCACTTATATCAAATTCTTAGACCATTCTCCATTTCTCTCTTAAATTCTGCAGTATTTCTACCTGTAATGTCAACTGCGTCAACATAATCAATGTTTTAAAGGATACAAGGTACGGACTTTATCCTAGGATATCCCTTCACACTATTCGGATCGCATTTATCTTCAAGTCTCTTGAATTTATTGGTTGTTCTTTCCTTCTCATTGAACTTCATCAATCATGGTTATCGCCTAGAAGAGGTGTCTACATATAATCTATATATGTTGCGAAACCATTCACGAAAACTTGAACGTAGTGTAGTTTGAGTAAAATGGCTAAGTTTCATCGCATATATGTAAGGAAATGTTCCAAAATAGTGTGAAAAGTTACCTAGTAAGACATAAATGATACCTAGATAAAGTATGGATGTTAGTTGAAATTGAATGAAAAGGTTTGAGAGGCGAATATGGACCATGTGCATCGTATACGAGTCATGCGGCGCGTGGACGTGAGAAATAGTCGTCCTGCAGCAAGGCAGCTATTGAAAAACGCGCCAAATTGCGAATGAGTACTTGTGCTTCATCATGTTCTTAGTTTTTTAATGAATGCGTCTTTATTGATATGGATGCCCACGTAAATTACTTACTTTCTTGGGTACTTGGGTTGCCCGTCTTCACTGGTTGTGCAGTCCCCCGTTAAATTTCGATTTTTTTCGGTGTTTTGCTGGTTTAGCCATTGTAGTGCCCTGGAGCCCCGAGATCAGCCTGGTCAACGTTTGCCGCAGGTCGTCACCACCACAGGCAGTCGTGTATCAGAGGGAGGTTGGCCACCATGCGACTACTTTGTTACCAGGACGTTGGTGGATCCTGGCATTCGTTTACTCTCATCTGGGCGGACTTCCTGATGGAAACCCCGGGCTCCTCAGCTTGGGAGCCCCCTTCCAAGGGGATGAATCTGTGCAGCACAGCCAGACGCCCAGAAACACCTCCCGGCAACGATGAGGTGGTAAACCGTTGAAAAGTCCACATAGATTAAGTCAAACAAGCAGTTTTTTACCTCCAAAACAGCTTGAGGGTGAAAGAATCGGAAAAAGCTGTACGAAGTTGAATGCTGGTTTGTTAGTTGTGTGTTTCCTTTAGGATACTGTACGTTTTATATACTCGTTGATCGTGGGCTTCTTTTTACACTCATTCATTGTGATCCATGTACTGTCTCCCATTCTAAGTATATTTAAATAGTAAGTAGTGATGTGGCCTTTCCAGGACTGAGAATGATCTTTTCATCGTCTGTCTCAGTATTGGTGCCATTTTCCATTCTAAAAATGCTACTGGTTGCCGTTTTTTAGTTCATTTCCCTTCCTAATTGTGCCATTTTATTGCGTTCACTTCCGACCACAGCGATATGAAATGTGTGTCTTTCAGATCATTACCATGCTCTGGCTAGATGTCTCGAACTGGAATGGCGTGCTGGTCATGTTGAGCAGGCTGATAAATTCCTAAAAAGAGCAGTCGAGAACAATCCAAGAGCTTCAGTCGACGCTGGCTATAATTACTGTAAAGGATTGCATGAATGGTAAGTGTACTTCTTTTTATAATAGAATGGGTGATCTTCACGAATCGCAAAGCGTTTTGAGGGCTCCCGGTACAATGTCAATTCACTGGTAGATTACTAAGTGTGCAAGATTTTCTTTTCCTGTTGGCCCAAAAGTCACGGTAGGCCTTTCCTAGGTCGTCACCACGTTTCAGCTAGTGAATGTATTGTCACCGAGTTGGCAGTGACTCATGGGTTGATTTATTCCTAGTTGGACTTTCGAGTGAGAATTAATGAGTTTCTAAGCCTATGACACTTTAGTAGGGAATGAAACCTCTTCTTTTTTCGACACCGAGGAATACCTTTTTCTGAATAAGGCGGTCAGCTATTCTGGCGATAAGTTTACATATTTATACCCGCATCATATATATGTGTATATTTATATACATACACAGATGTACATACATATATACATTTTACGTGCATATATATTCCTTTTGTTCTATTCCCTATATCGACCTGTAAAGGGCGCGTGTGGCGTAGCGGTCGAAGGCGCTTTCCAACACACGGAATCGATTCGCGGGCCCATAGCCCACCAAGCCTTCTATCGCTCCGAGGTTGACAAATTGGTACCAAACTTGTCTGGGAGGATATCAGCACTGGTTCAGCACATCGGTAGGCCACGGCGAGTCATTGTAAAAGCCAGGTATGCATTCAGTCACGTCCAAACGATGCCTAATGAAGTCAAATGCATGGCGCATCCCTCAGGGATTGATCAACGCCGAGAGCTTAATCCTTTTTTATTAAGCTAAGAGAATAAATTTCTTTGTGTATTCCACGCTCAGTAGATTTACGTCTGGTTGTTCATTGTCGCATTTGCTTTTTTTATGCCATACGTATACTTCATGTTTCACACTGGAACCACATTGTAAAATTTCTCTTTCCGTAAGAAGTTTATTTATTTAGTTATACTTCCATAGTAAACGTAACGATGCCCTTTTTTGTCGCAGTCGATTATTGTTACGCCTAATTCTTCACCGCATTCGATTTCAGTCGAAAAATCAGTCCGGAGGAAGCTTTCATTTGGGATAAATGAATAATAAATAAAAGGTAAGGTTGGCGTTGATCAATCCTTGGGAGATGCGCCATACATTCGACTTCATTAAGCATCATTAGACGTGATTGAATGCATATCTGGCCTTTACAATGACTCGCGGTGGCCTACCGATGTGCCGAACTAGTGCTGCTATCCTCCCAGACAAGTCTGGTACCAATTTGCTGACCCCGGAGGGATGGAAGGCTTGGTAGGCCATGGGCGCGGGAATCGATTCCACGTGTTTGTTGCAGGGCGCCTCCAACCACTGCGCCACGCGCGCTCCTAGAATTTAAATATAGGGAGTAGCATTTAGTGCGCCACATCTCTCAGAGCGTCTTTATTGTATGAGCCATTTGGTGCAAAAATTTGGTAAAAAAAAAGAGGTCTTTATAACAGTTGAAGGCCAGAAGGGTTATGCTTTGAAGTCGGTGCAAACCACTCACCACTCAACCCACCCACATGTACGCGGGTATAAGTACATGGGGCCATTTATGTGCCGTTGTACAGAAACTTGTTGTCTTTGGATAAACGAAAGGTGGGAGTGATGTACATCTACTGGAGAATTGCTTCAGAATTAGTTAGCACCGTTGTTCAAGCATTAAGGGTTCGAAATATGTTATGCTTCTGTAATGATGGCTTTACATTTCCGTATTCACGTTCTTATTAGCAAGTTTAGTGTGTTCCAGGTTCTCTGGGGAACCGAATGCCGCATTACAAGCGTTCAATCGAGCCAGACAAGATCTTGAATGGGGCGAGAGAGCACTGTATAATATGATCGAGATTGTTCTCAATCCGGATAACGAAATTATTGGTGGTGAAGCTCGGGATCCACTTGAAGAAAGGTGGAGATCCGTCAATTTTCCTCATTTAACGTAATAAATCCTATAGCTAAGTGTAGGTTGCACATCTTTTGGAAACCGATTATTTTGCAAGCTGTGTGGTAGAACACCTCTTACCATCCTTTGAGTACTAATCGTCGAAATATTTTTGCTGCATCTGAAAAATATATGACCGAGTTAGTTTCTAGTCCATTTTTAGCCCGTTTTTCGGTTACAATTTTAGAACAGACGATGCTGATCGAGAAATGGCTGCAAAAACCGCAGAGCGCTTTTTGAAGGTGAGTAAGAGAACTATACGTTTATCGATCCCAGTGTTATTTTCAGTGACATTATTATAATATGGATTGCTGTCCTGAATTATAAGTGCAGAAATATGCTTTAAGTGTTATTAATGAAATTTTCTGCCCTCTGTAAAGTAATAAAAGGCAAACGATAATGGTCTCGGCGTTGATCAATCCGCATAGATACACCATGCATTCTACTTCATTAACTATCGTTGGAGGTGACTGAATGCATATCTGGCTTTATAATGACTCGCGGTGGCCTCCGATGTATCGTCCCAGTGCTGCTAACCTCCTAGACAAGTCTGGTACCAATTTGCGAACCCCGGAGGGATGAAGTTCTTGGTGGACTTGGGGAGCAGAGATCGATGCCATGTGTATTTCAAGATGCCTCCGACCACTTCGCAACACGCGCAAGGGGTAAGATAAGATGGATGGGTATGGTAAGATGGGATGAGATGGGCAAACCATGCTACCCTTGCAGTTGTTGCAGTTCTCTTCAGTTTTCATGATGAATTAACGCCTTTGCTCTGCGTGGAATGGACTGTTCCTGTGTCAGAAATTACATGTTTTCTAGGAAGTAACGTTTAAGAACAACAATTCTAAGTATATGCTTATGGAGAACTCAATTTTGGTTGCCAGCGGAGTTCGTAGTAACATTCAGAGGGCACTCGATAAGCTACTGCCAGTACTAGGAAATGAAGGGGTTAGTGCATGCTTTTTATCGCTCTTTTTTCACTTTCATAAATACTTCATTGATGGTTAATTCTTAAAAAGCTTATATAACAAATACATTGTGTCCTTGTTTGTAAAAGAAGCCTTGTGATGGATGGAGGCGTGTTGAGGCCAATCATGTATTTTAGCAAAGCAGATAATACTACGTAGATTTATAGGAATTACTTGGATGGCCCGTCTTCACTAGTTGTGCGGGCTTCAGCATAATCTCCACTTTTCGGAGATTTGCTGCTTAACCATTGTGATTCCCTGGAGTCCCGAAGTCAACTGAGCGAATATCTGCCCATTTCGTTACCACCATAGGCAGTTGCCGCCTTTGTAGCTCAAGGCTAGATTTCCCATTCGGCTAGTTTAATACCAGGACGCTGGTGAATCCTGGTATTGGTTTACTCTTAGCTGGGCTTTCCTGATGAAAACGCCGGACTCCTCAGCTTGGGAGACCTTACCGGAGCGACGAGTCTGTTGCGGCCCGACACCTCGGAACACCTCCCATCCACGACGAGGCGCTAAACCGTTGGGGCAATTTATATAAATTTACTATTTACAATTTAGTTTATTTATAGGAATTACTTGAAAAATGTAGTAGCGAATCAGTTAATCAGTAGAAATCATATATATTGGTAAATCAGTTAATACTATCTTAATTTATAGGAATTAATACAATAATAGGCATAGGATTAATCGGGTGTTCCACTGAGTGAAAATATTTAAGGAGAAGGTATGCAGCGTAGGCGCTGTGTTGGTGGTGGCAAGAGCGTATATGTTACTAAAGCAAACGCCGAAAGCAAAAGCTGTGCTTAAACGAGTCATTGCCCATCCATGGTCATTGGAGGATGCAGATTATCTTGAGAAATGTTTGTTCTATTTTAATTTGTCTGTACTTTAAGTTTTCACTTAATAGTCCATTCTCTCTTGCCTTTGTTATCCACCTGGAATGTTTGTCTACTTTAGAACCCTTTCATCCCTCCCCGATCATCACTCAGTTCTTGCTATGACACTTTTGCGAAAAGGGAATTCTTTGTCTCCCTTTCGTTAAGTGTCATCGCGTGGATCGTTGTGCTTCCATTTACCTTATACCTCTTCTGTTGTGACTTCTGTGGTAGTTTTTCTTCCTTTATCTCGGTGCCTCCTTTTTTCTCATATTTCTCTCTGTTCTACCTCCAGTTTTTATTCTTCTCATTACTTTTTTTTTCTAGGAATTCCTTAATACTACTATATTTTAGGTTGGTTGCTGCTTGCTGACTTATACATAAATCAGAACAAGTCCGAGCAAGCAGACGGTATTCTGCGTACAGTATTGCAGCATAACGCGGTTTGTTTAAGTTAGATTATTGAAGTATTTTGTACGTATAACTATTTTATATAAATATCTTACACAACAAGGAATGCTTTTTTTGAACTTTTAAACATTTTCTAGTGTTCTCATATATTGTTTTTGGAACTATCATGGTTTTTTGTAGAGTTCGATAAAAGCGTTTGAGTTTCTTGGATATTTACGAGAACGAGAACAGAAGTTCGGTGATGCTGCTGCGAACTATGACGATGCATGGAAATTGAGCCGAATGCGAAATCCTGCCATCGGTAGGTCTTTGTAAGCACGGCGTGCACTTGCTGTTCAACCAACGCTAACGCTAGCCAAATGTGAAAATTGGATTCCAGTTGTCTGAACCATAATTGGATTCCAGTTGTCTGAACATGAAATCATGAGGTGGAAGAATTTAGCAATTATCGAACAGATGTTTGCCATGTTTTTGAATGGTTCTAAAAATAAGAGAGGACATCTTCCAGGGTACAAGCTTGCCTATAATCTGCTCAAATGCAAGCGACTTTTTGATTGCATCGAAGTGTGCCATCAGGTGTTGAAGGCATATCCTACATATCCAAAGATCAAGAAGGAAATCATGGATAAAGCAAGAATGAGCATAAGATCTTGAGATATTTTCCCTCTGAAGGTTTTACTTCTATGAGAATGGTAATTTTAGCGAAGAATCAACCGGAATTTTTAATAAGTTCTCTACCCTTACCTCTTCATGAGAGGTATGAATAAACGAATTCTAGAAATTCGGACCAGTATTCATGCGCTTGATTGTATCTAGAATTGTGAAATTTTGGTTGTGAACTTTCTCTGACTCATAAAGCCCTTTTGTATTGAGTGTTCATATATCTTCTGAATGAATTGAAGAATCTCTCCAAGTTGATAAGAATGAGATATTAAGGTAGCATCTTCTATCGTGGGCTCAGTGAGTTTCGTTACCGTGTAGATTTGACGCGTCTGGAACCTTTCTGGAACATAGCCTAGTTAAGAGAGTGCTTTTCATTAAATCTTCTCTTGACGTTTTGAAAAACATGAGTAAAGAATCTGTATATGATCAGTAATAGACAGATCGATTGATGGTTGCCGATATCGTCTAGGTTTCTCTCCTTGTGTGGTCTTTATAATTTTCTGCTTATTACTAGTCTGGTAAGGTTATGACTGGTAGCATGTCAAAAACTGTTAGAGCTTTGGTCAGGACTCGTAGTAGGTTCTTGTTCATTATATGTAGCCCGTTCATTATAGAATGGTGTGTAGGCGAACGTTACGGATGTTTTTCTAAAGGCTGCAGCTTCAATAAGTACTCCTGCTGCGCTACCTTTGTTCTATTGTCAGTTCCCTATGGAGCTTTCCAAGCTAAGACGTAATCTGGTGGTTCCTTGCCGCAAATGGAACTTTAAGCTATCGTTTAGTGTTGGATATTGTTGCTCACGGTCTTGCTTTCCTAACCACTAAATGCGGTAATGTTGCCCGAGTCCAAACAAACCCTAATTTGAGATCGAGAGGGCCATACTAGTATAGCGATTAGACGTGAGTTGATTTCCACTCACAAGATGCGAGAATAACGACGGCCTTCAAATTTAATCCAACACATCTCAGCTCTAGTTGGATTTTATTCATTAATTCTCTCGACGGGCCCTTCTTAAGCAACGTGTTGCCCTGCCCTTTATCTCAAACGAAGTAAGTGCAGCCATAACACGTTGATTAAGAAGGGCCGCTCTAGAGAATTCGATAAGAATAATTAAAATACCACGGAGCGCTCTAAGAAGCCAACTAGTTCGCAACCGCCTTTGTTAATTAGATTTAAAAACATTAGAATCTTCAGATCTTTGTCAGTAGCGTGAAAAACTCACCATTCTGTCAGGATGAAGCCATGAATTTATGTAGCCCCGAAATCGTACTTTTGTCAGTTTGTATTTCTTCGAGGTTCGTATTTGAAAAATGAAAACAGCTGAACAGGCGCCATTTCGCCCACTAGAACGTGATCACACTCCCAAATGCATTGGTGGTTTTCATTGCTGCCGGAATCTGGTTTGGATTTTTAGAAGTCTAAACTGCTTTTCCTTCTTTGGAACTTTTAATTCTAAACGTATTTAAAAATCAAATATTAGTTTTAACGAGCTGTACTTATAAAACCACGCATAAATAGGGCGGATACCCATTTCATGAAGAACCTCTGGTGCAAAGGCCAACAAATCGAAATGGATTGTTCTCTGATTACAGAGATCACCTCGTACGTGTATCATGTGCGTTCAGTGAACGTGAACAACAGCAGCAAAAGCAATTAGACGGCAGAAGGAGAGCAGCGTGGGTCGCATTTGGGCCACTCAAATAGAGCGCCGACCAACTGACGGACCCAAAACTCCGCGCTCACCCTTTTGACTCAGCAATCTTTTCAGCACTCTGTTATGCAGAACAGACGTGGGGTGATAATTCAATCACATTAAGAAATCTACGCACCACTCATAGAGCGCTTGAATAATATCTTCTGAGATTTAACCGGCACCAACACGTCTAGCCGGAATGGTCAAATCAGATATTCGAAACTTACCCCATCTTCAGGATCCAGAAAGATATACTGCAATAGCCAAACACACATGGGCCGGTCACATTGTAAGAAGAGCAGATTCCAAAACAGGCGGTTCTCCAGTTGCCCGCAGAGGATCTTTAATGGAGAATTCGGGATATATTGTAAAATGAAATCTTTATCATTAGGAATGAAGTGCAACAAAAGTCTATGCTAACAAGGGAAGAATTAAGGTAGATTTTACGTTAATTTTCCCTTTCCAACTGTCATCTGTCAACTTCATTTTCACTTCAGGCTCACAAAGCCTTGCCGTATTTGGTTACACATGTAATCAAGATCTTGGATCACAAGTGCGATCGTATCACAGCTGATTGTTGTCGATACTCTTGAGGTGGCACGCGTGGCGCAGTAGTTAGAGGTACCGTGCAATCCCATGTGGTCGTTGGTTAGGTTACGCGCTCAAGGCTCAACAAACCCTAAATCCCAAGACCGACTTTCTGTTAACCTCGGCATTTATTGATAATTCAATGTTTTTCATCAATAAGCAGACACGAGGTTGTTAATATAGAATTTATTAGAACACAATTGCTGACGTTTCGGCGGTTTCGCCTTCTTCAGAGCCGTTTATTTGTTGTAAGTATTTAAGTTAGTTGGTGGATAGCCGCAGAGTAATACATGGTCGATAACGATAACTCGATAACTCTGCGGCTATCCACCAACTAACTTAAATACTTACAACAAACAAACGGCTCTGAAGAAGGCGAAACCGCCGAAACGTCAGCAATTGTGTTCTAATAAATTCTATATTAACAACCTCGTGTCT